TCTTAATTTATATATAGATAGAAGAGGGAAGAGAGAGAGAGAGAGAGAGAGAGAGAGAGAGATTGGCCTCTTGTTTATAATATTAGTTGCAATACATTTTTCCTCTTCATTGTGTGTCTTTGACTTTACTCCTGATATTACAAGTTAACATGCCGAATATTTTTAATGTAGTTGCATGTATAATTTTTAAAAAAATATATTTTATTGATTTTTACAGAGAAGAAGGGAGAGAAATAGAGAGTTAGAAACATAGATGAGAGAGAAACATCGATCAGCTGCCTCCAGCACACCCCCTATGAGGACGTGCCTGCAACCAAGGTACATGCCCTTGACCGGAATCAAACCTGGGACCCTTCAGTCCGCAGGCCTACGCTCTATCCACTGAGCCAAAGCGGTTAGGGCATAATTTTTTTTAATTTATTGAATTTTATTTTTTAGAGAGAGAGGGACAGTGCTAATGAGAGAAACATTGATGTGAGAGTCAAACATCCATTGGCTGCCTCCTGCTTGACCCCCACGGAGGATCAAGTTGCAACCTGGGCATGTGCCCTGACTGGGAATCAAACCAGCAGCCTTTCATGCACAGGACCGCACTCAACCAGCTGAACTGCACTGGCCAGGGCCAATGTATACTTTTTTTTTTTTTACTTCTCAATTCTGAGTCATAGCTAGACCTTCTCAACTCCAAGGTGTCTCAAAAATAGTGTAAAAGTTCAATAAATGCTGTTGAATAAATAAATCCAACTGAGCCAAAATCATCCTCTTCTACGCACTGTGAAAAATCTTCAGGTTCATGGAGCCATTCTCCCATTTCTTCACTCCATCTCTACCCACCCACCTCCCAGCCCTCCCCTCTGGCAGATATTCTCTGTCTTTGACTTGTGGTTATCTTTGTCTTTATTGTGTACACAGTCCATGATGTACCCGTGTTCGTCAGGGCCAGACTGCTTCTGAGTCATCCATTCACCTATCACGGGACACCAAACACACGTTCAATAAATGTTTGAGGTGTGACTGTCCAAGGGAGGGCCTGCAACTCTTTCCCCAGGTCTTTCTCCCTGAAGTATTTGTTTATAGTTTCCTTTTTTAAACTTTTTGTTTTATTATTATTTTTGTTTGTTTGTTAATCCTCACCCGAGGATATTTTTCCATTGATTTTTATTTTTTTTCTTTATTGATTGAGGTATTACATATGTGTCCTTATCCCCCCCATTGCCCCCCACCCTCCCACTCATGCCCTCACCCCCCTGGTGTCTGTGTCCATTAGTTAGGCTTATATGTATGCATACAAGTCCTTTGGTTGATCTCTCCCCTTTACCCCCACCCTCCCCTACCTTCCCTCTGAGGTTTGACAGTCTGATCGATGCTTCTCTGTCTCTGGATCTGTTTTTGTTCATCAGTTTATGTTGTTCATTATATTCCACAAATGAGTGAGATCATGTGATATTTATCTTTCTCTGACTGGCTTATTTCGCTTAGCATAATGCTCTCCAGTTCCATCCATGCTGTTGCAAATAGTAAGAATTCCTTCTTTCTTACTGCAGCGTAGTATTCCATTGTGTAGATGTACCACAGTTTTTTAATCCACTCATCTGCTGATGGCACTTAGGCTATTTCCAAATCTTAGCTATGGTGAACTGTGCCGCTATGAACATAGGGGTGCATATATCCTTTCTGATTGGTCCATTGATTTTTAGAGAGAGTGGAAGGGAGAGGGAGAGACAGAGAAACATTGATGTATCTGGGATTGAGCCTGCAACCGAGGTGCCCTTGACATGTCCTTGACTGGAATTCAACCCAGAACCGCTTCAGTCCACAGGCCGATGCTCTATCCACTGAGCCAAACCGGCTGTTTATACTTTCCTTCTGGCTCTTGGTCTGCCTTAAAGTTCAGTGATGTGTGTTCCTGTCTCTTCATCCTGCCCATTCCCTTCTCAAATCCTTTTGATGTTTCCTCTGCCTGGGGAGAGGTGGTAATGTCTCTCCACAGGACTTCAAAATCTGGCTTACAGGCCGAGGCAGAATATGTAGACTGAATATTTGTGCCTCCCCCACTCTGTCGTTATGCTGAAGCCTCATCCCCAATGTGATGGAATTTGGAGGTGGGGTTTTTGGGAGGTGGGATTAATGTCCTTATAAAGAGACTCCCTCTCTCCTCCATCATGGGGAGGACACAGAGGGAAGAGGGCTACGAGCCAGGAAGCCAGTCCTCAGCAGACCCTAAATCTACCAGTGTCTTCATCTTGCCAGGCTCCAGAATTGTGAGAAATAAATTTCTCTTGTTCATAAGCTGCTAGTATATGGTATTCATTTATTGCAGCCCAAATGGACTAAGATACTCCAGGACTTCAAAAGGCTGGTTTCTCACCAGTCAGGAATTAGCTGAAAGCTCCCCTCCCCTCAGACGTTTAACCCCAAGGCCAATCTAGCTCTCCAGCCACTTGTTATCAAATCACCTGGTTTTGTTTTCTTCCCAGAGCATCATTATCTGAAATTATTTTATTTGCATATTTGTTCATGGTCAGAGTTCTCCCCCCGCCTCCAGTAATGTCAGCTCCTTGAAGTGTGAGACAAGGCCGCCTTGTTTCCTGGTATATTGTCAGCCTCTAGGAAGGCTGGCACATAGTAAGTGACTAATAAATAGTTGTTGAATGAATGAAAGATGGTTGCCTGGGAGCTCCTTCAGGGAAGGATTGGGTCTAAATAATAATAATATAATAGTAGTTATAGTTATAATAGCTATTTATTGAGCCTGACAAATGTACTAAGCTCTACAGCAAGTGCATCTCATGATTATCTCATTTAATCTTTAGGACAACCCAGTGGGGTAGGAGTTACTAGTATCTTTAATTCCCATTTGTCAGATCAAACTGAAGCTTAGAGGAGTTTCATCATATAGCTAGGGCTAGACTGCTAGACTGTACCTAAGGAGCCACAGCTTCAGCGTCACCTAGAAATCTGTTAGAAATACACTTTCTTAGGCCCCACCCCAGACATACTGAGTCAGAAACTCTGGGGTAGAGCCAGCAATCTGAATTTTAACAAACCCTCCAGGTGATTATGATGCACTAGTGTGAAAACCCCTGTGGAAGACGAGCTTGGATTCTTATTTATTTATTTATGTATTTAGTTATTTGTTAATCCTCACCTGAGGATATTTTTCCCATTGTTTTTTCAGGGAGAGAGAGAGAGGGAGAGAAACACATCACATCACTTGGTTGCCTCCCACATGTGCCCCGACCAGGGGCAGAGATCGAACCTGCAACCCAGGTATGTGCCTTGGACTGGGAATCGAACCTGAGACCCTTCAGGATGCGGGGCTGAGCTCTAACCACTGAGAAAATCGGCCAAGACTTGGACTTTTTTTTCTTTTAAAAAAAATATGCTTTTATTGATTTTAGAGAGAGGGAGAGGGATATAGAGATAGAAACATCAATGAGAGAGACATGGATTGGCTGCCTCCCACACACTCCCTACTAGGGATTGAGCCTGCAACCCAGGCATGTGCCTGACTGGGAATCGAACCAGGCACCCCCTGTTCATGGGTCAACGTTCAACCACTGAGCCACACTGAGCTGGACTCTTTTTAAAAAAACTGCATTATTGAGATATAATTTACATACTATACAATTCTCCCATTTAAGTATACAATTCAATGGGTTTTAGTACACTTACAGGGTTGTGCAACCATCTCCAAAATAAGTTATGATTAGATTAATGGATTATAACATTTTTTACTCCTCTGAAAGAAACCCCTTATCCATTCCTCTCCCATTACCTAGCCCCAGCCCTAAGCAACCACTAATATATTTTCTACCTTTATAGTTTTGCCTGTCCTGGATATTTCATACAAGTGGAATCATAAAAATATATATGTGATTTGCCGTGAATGGCTTCTTTCACTCTGCATGTTTTTTTAAAGTTCATCCATGTAACAGCATCTATCCTTTTTACTGACAAATAATATTCTATTTACGGATATACCACATTTTTTTTTACTCATTCATCAATTGATGAACACTTGGGTTGTTTCAAATTTTTGGCTATTGTGAATAATGCTATGAACACTCATGGATACGTTTTTGTATGGATATATGTTTTTATGTCTCTTGGATACTATATATATACACATCTATCTATCTATCTATCTATCTTTCTTTCTATCTATCTATCTATCTATCTGTCTATCTATCTAGGAGTAGAATTGATGGGTCATAGATCTTACCCTCTAAATCACTACACATTTCAGCTAGTCTGCTAGTCTTCGTCTCTGCTATTATTAAATAATTATATCATTAATAACACCAATATTCTATTAAGTGTCTTTGTTGCAAAGCCCTTTACTTTTATTTTTTTAAATATTTTTATTGATTTCAGAGAGGAAGGGAGGAGAGAGATAGAAACATCAATGATGAGAGAGAATCATTGATTGGCTGCCTCCTACATGCCCCCCACCAGGGACTGAGCCTGCAACGAGGGCATGTGCCCTTGACCAGAATCGAACCCGGGACCCTTCAGTCCGCAGGCCGATGCTCTATCCACTGAGCCAAACCGGCCAGGGCACTCAATCCTTTGACACAGGAATCATTATTCCCTGTAGTACAGGGAGAGAAATTGGAGTGCACAGGCATACGGCAATTTGTCTGCACTCAGACAGCTAACTCGGGCAGTGCTGGAGCCACAACCCACGTGGGCCTGTTTTCTGTGCCCTCTGTGCCTGCTGCCATGTCCTGGGCCAGACGCTGTCCCAAAGCTGTCGTAACATGCCTCCTGCCCTCCTTTGGGACATTTTCTGGAAGTTAGATTGGCCTGAAATCCCAAGGGAGAAAGCTGTACACTCACTCCCCATGCTCTTTTCCCCAGCTGGCACTGAAGGCCAGGGGAGGGGCTTCCCCCGGGAGCTGGAAATAAAATGAAGGGAGGGCTGAGCTGAGCAGGGCAGTACTATAAGGAGGTTAGGAGACTGTGAGGGGGAGGTAAGGAGTTTTTTGTTTTGTGGTGTTTTGTTTTTTGGCTCTTAGAGAGCAGGTGAGGTGGGGCTTGGCAGAGTTTTGCTATGGATAGGGAATGGGAGTGAGGAGTGAGGCCCAAACAAGCAGACTTGGGTAGTGAGCTTTCACAGGCAAGGCAGGTCTGAGGAGCCCCCTTCCCCACGTCGTTAGAAGGAAAGAGTGATTTTACCTGACTGTGGAGGGGGCTTTTCTTCCATGACTGCTCCTTGAACCCCTTATTCTGTGCCAGGTCCTTGCTGTGCTGGGGGCTAGGATTAGGGAGAACATCTCAGGGGGCTAAGACAGAAATAGACACTTGGCTAAGAAGTAGGAAGGGCAGGTTGAAGGGGAAATTCTGTGAGCTGTGTACGAAGGCTTTCTAAGGAGTGGAAAGCAATGCAACTAGGGCTCCAAAGCTACAAACATTTAGCTCTGGGCCAGAGGAAGGCATTGCAGGTGGAGGGGACTGCCGTTTGCATGCTTGGAACATGCAAAGCTGGAGCATAGAGGTTTAGGAGATAAAGTGGTAGCAGGTGAGCCCAAAGCTGTCAGCTAGAGCTATACTGTCCAGTATGGTTGCCAGGAGCCATAAGACACCATGGCTATTTAAATTCAGTTAGCATTAAAAATAATTAAAAATCCAGCCTCGTAGGCATCCTAGCAACATTTTAAGTGCTCAATAGCAACATTGGGCGAGTAGCTATGGAAACAGAGAGAACAGATGTAGAACATTCTCCATCATCTCACAAAGTCCCTTTAGTCAGTGGGAAGCCTCAGGAGGGTTTGGATTGCTCAAGGACCTACGGGAGAGAGCAGGCTTAGCCTGGGCTGCCTGGCCTGTGAGGCCTGGCCTGTGATGTCTCTGGACTACAGCTGAGGGAACAGTCCCCAGCAGTGTGAGGTGGTGTGACTCACCTCCTGCCAGCATAAAGTGGACTCTGCCCCCGGGGACAGGAATTAACCAGGCCGGGCGTCTTTAGCTCCAACTTGGGATCCCTGATCAGTGTGAGCAGAGCCAGAGTGAGAGAAACATGGAGTGAGTGGTACTAGGGAGGGTGGAGCAGCTGAGTGGGGCTGAGCCTGGGCACTGAGGGGGTCTCCAACTTGGTCACCGTCGGTGTGCACAGGGCTGGACAGAAAAAGGCTGAGGAGGGTGTCTGTGAATTGAGAGGGGAGAGCAGGGTGGAAGCTTGCTGGATGGGGGTGGGGTGGTTCTGTGTCAAATGATGAGAGAACGGAAACCCTCCCAGTCCACGGTAATGACCTGTTTCTGCTTCCTTCCCAGGTCCAATGCAGTCCAGCTGACGAGGATGGAATACGCCATGAAGTCCCTCAGCCTTCTCAACCCCAAGTCCCTCTCCAGGTGAGGAGAGCCGAGGGTGAAAGGGAAGGGGAGCTACCTGTGAGCGGTAGGGCAGAACTTCTCAAATTTCAGTGGCACATAAGTCACTTGTGTATCTTTGTAAAGTGTAGATTCTGATTCAGGGGCTCTGTAATGGGACCCAAGATTACCACCACACTATGCTTGTGCTTTCATTCTTGATCTCATTTCAGCCTCACCATGACTTTGGGAAGTGGGGATGATTATGCCAAGTTAATAGACGAGGGAACTGGGGCACAGAGTGGATGCTTTCGATTACCTAGCAAATGGATAGTGGGGTCAGGATTCTAACTTTGCCTGCCTGTCTCCAAAACCCAGGTTCCCTCCACTCCTTTGGTTCTACATTGTGTTATGTCAGAGTACAAAAACACCTTACACTGACGTCAGCTTCGCCACTTTATCTCACTTTACAGGTGAGAAGAGTGAGGCCAAGAGAGGAAAGTGGAATTGGGGGAATGCGGGGTGGGTCTTCTCTCACTCCGTTCCCCTTCATGGTCTGAGAACCCGCAGAGTCAATATCACTTGAGACACATAGAATCTCACACTCCACCCAGACCTACTGAATCAGAATCTGCATTTCACCAAGATCCCCACAGGACTTGCATGTCCATTAAAGTCTCAGATGCACTGATGTGGCTGACTTTTGAGTAAGACTATCTAGAGCAGGCCTGGTAGGTGGTAGGGGAGGAGGAATATGGTGAACTCAGCCTACAGGGATTGCTATGGGGTGAGAGCTGGGAAGCAGCAGGCAGCTTATTCTAATGCCCCAAACCACCCCCAGGTATGTGGCAGTGAGCACCTCGGTGGTCACCCAGCAGCTGCTGTCGGAGCCCAGCCCGGAGCCCCTCAGAGCCCGGCCCTGCAGAGTGAGCACCCAGGACCGGAGTGTGCGGAAGGGCATCATGGCGCACAGCCTGGAGGACCTCCTCCACAAGGTGAGGGGCGGGCCTGACCTCTGCACAGCACAACCACTGGGACCTTGGCTCAGAGTTGGCCCTGCCTGCTGCCTCTGTCCTCCAGGTCATGAGCTGCAAGTTCAGTAAGGATGAAGTTCATGGCTCATATGGCGAAAAGATTTCCTTTCTCAGGCCAGGTCAAGTGGGTTGGTAGTGCCTGCCTGGAGTGCTGTCCAGCTGATTAGTGTTGTCTGTCTGTTGACAGGGGGAGGGCAGTATATTGCTTTCCTATATCAACATCAGTGGTATTTTCAGAGCATAATTGCTCCCTGGAAGGATCCTTAGGTTGCCTTTTACAGTCGTTCTTAAACTTGTAGAAGTGCCTGGAAGCTAGGGAAATGGGCAAGATTTTAGACATTCCCTTCTCCATCCATCTCCTCCCTTCAGCCAGGGCAGTTCTCCTCAGTCTGCTTCCTATACTGACCTTCCACGTAAGGATTTTTTAATAGCTGTAGAAGACTTTCTTCAAACTGTTAACCAGGGAAGCTTCCAGGGGAGAAAACCAAGGCTATACAACGCTTGTGGATGGTAGTCACAGGAGGCAAGAATGACACCCTTCCCCATTTCCAGCTTCCTCTCCACTGCTTGGGGGTATCTTCCTCCGTTGCCCGGCCTACAGCTCATCTATTCTGGCTCCATATTAGTCATGTGCTTCACTGCCTCACTAGCTTATCAGCTCCAGGGGGTGGGACCCTGCTCATCTGCAAGTCCAGGTGCCTGACACAGATCAAATGTTTGAATTAGGCTTCCAATTACTAGTCTGTTTAACATATAGAAATCATAGCTCGCCCTAGCTGGTTTGGCTCAGTGGATAGAGCATCAGCCTGCGAACTGAAGGGTCCCAGGTTCAATTCCAGTCACGGGCACATGCCCGGGTTGCAGGCTCCATCCCCAGTAGAGGATGTGCAGGAGGCAGCCAATCAAGGATTCTCTCTCATCATTGATGTTTCTATCTTCCTCTCCCCTCATGTCTGAAGTCAATAAAAAAGTATTAAAAAAATCATAGCCGACCTAACCCTCTATTCTAGGTTCTCTCCCCCATTTCTCTGAATTAGGTCCATTCTTCCTGGAAGCCAATTTCCCCTCCCTTGTGAGGCTTCCGGTTGTGCCAGGTTGCATTTCTTGTGCCTTGAATCAAAAGGGCTCTTTCACACTTGAATCTAGACTCTGCACTATTTTTCACACTGAGGTTCAGGGACCACCTTATGCATTACAATGGCCTTGTTAACACATGGCTTCCCAGACTTCTCCCCCTGAGACTGATTAGGTCATGAGTGAGGCACAGGAATTGTCATTTTAGCAGATTCTTCAGGAGATTGTTATAGCCACTGAGTTTGGGAATTCCTATTCAGAGCCCTAACTGCAGAGGATGCAGGGAGGGACAGCTTTCTAAGATGGACCATAGGTCAGAAGTGAAGTCTACTTGGAATTAGGAAGACATCCTTCTATCTAGACTAACTTTCCAAATTTGGCAACAGAAAGAAAGGAGCAGAGAAAATGAGGGGAGAGAGGGTAAGGAGATATGGTTGGGAGAGACCAGGGTATGAAGTCCTTTATTTGGCCATGGCAGAGAACAGTTGGGTTTCATGTTAAAAGATAAGCTCTAGCTGGTTTGGCTCAGTGGATAGAGCGTTGGCCTGCGGACTGAGGGGTCCCAGGTTCAATTCTGGTCAAGCGCACATGCCAGGATTGCGGGCTCAATCCCCAGTAGGGGGTGTTCAGGAGGCAGATGATCAATGATTCTCTCTAATCTTTGATGTTTCTATCTCTCTCTCTCCCTCTCCCTTCCTCTCTGCAATCAATAAAAATACATTTTTTTAAAAAAAGATAACAGTAAGCCATTGGAGGATTTTTTAAAATGAAAACTAATTTTGAAACAATCTCAAACTAACAAAATTTGCAAGAGCAATGAGACTTCCTGAAGCACTTGAGAGCAAGTTGCCGACCTAATGCCTGTCATTCTTGGATACATCAATGTGTGTTTTCTCCAGACAAGGATATTCTCCTATATAATCACAATACAACCATCAAAATCAGGCAAAATACAATATTATATAACTACCATTTGATCTTGATACTACATTCAAGTGTTTGCAATTATTCCAATAATGTGCTTTGTAGCAAAAGGACCCAGGTCAGGATCAAGTATTCTATTTAATTGTGAATCTCTCTTTTTAAAAAAATTTTAATTTATTGATTTTAAAGAGAGAGAGAAATGAAGAGGAAGAGACAGAGACATTGATTTGTTGTTCCATTTATGCATTGATTAGTTGATTCTTGTATGTGCTCTGACCGGGGATTGAACCCACAACTTTGGTGTATTGGAGGATGCTCTAACCAACTGAGCTACTGGCCAGGGAATTGTGCATCTCTCTCTCTCTCTTCTCTCTCTCTCTCTCTCTCTCTCTCTCTCTCTCTCTCTGGCTTAATCCTCACCCAAGGATAATTTCCCATTGATTTTTAGAGAGAGTGGGAGGGAGAGCGAGAGAAACATTGATGTGAGAGAGACCTGCACCAGGGAGAGACCTGCAACCCAGGTACCTGCCCTTGACCAGGAATCAAACCCGCCACCCTTTGGTGCACTGGCTGATGCTCTACCACTGAGCCACACTGGCCAAAACTGTGCACCTCTTTAGTCTCCTTCAGTATGAAACAGTTCCTCAATTTCCTTGACATTCATGACCTTTACTATTTTGAAGATTAAAAGCCAGTTATTTTGTTTACGCTTCTTTAGTTTAGAATTATTTAATTGCATACAATTTTGATTTGTCACATTACTGTTTAACTTTGAATATTTGAATAAAAAGGTATGGTCAGGGCCCTGGACAGGTAGATCAGTTAGTGGGAGTGTTGTCCCAAATACTAAGGTTGAGAGTTCAATCCCCGGTCAGAGCACATACAAAAATAAGTGGAACAACAACTCTCTCTCTCTCTCTCTCTCTCTCTCTCTCTCTCTCTCTCTCATTAAGTAAAAAAAAAAAAGTTTTTAAAGGTACAGTCAGGCTTCTCTATATAAAGTTATTATTTTTTCCTTTCTGTTAATTATTTTCTAAGGATGTACTTAGCACTAAGTAAAATCTCATTCTGCATCTAAACTTCAATTTATTTACTTACTTATATCAAAAAGGACTCAAGTATCCCCACTTAAATGGGATATAAGGATGGTAACAGATTATTTATTGATGCTCAAATTGTCCCAGACTTGGCCAGTGAGACTCCCTTCAGCCCTATTTCTGTGTTGTGCTTTCTGACTTTCTGGCACAACAAGGTACTACAGGCTCATCTTGTACTTTTCCTTCCCTAGCCCTAGAGTTCACCATTTTTTCTAAGAAGGTCTGCTTCATTTTAGTGAAGAATGGTATTCAGAAACCAAGATCTGGGAGTTAAGTGTGTTCATTGCTGTTGCTGTGTTGCTCATCCCAGGCCTATATTAAAGGATTTTAAGCGAAAAATATGTTCTCTAACAAATCCAAGAAAAGTAAAGTGAAAATTCTCCTATTCCAAAAGAACTAATGGTGTGACTGTGACTGTCCTAAATAGTCTATCCTTATATATAACTTAAATGGGGTTATGTAGTATAGAGCTGACTTTTCATCCTATAACATGTCATGGGTCTCTTTCCATTTTAATTAGTATAGTATAAATTTTAGTAAATGCACACTATGGACTATGGACTCTGCCAAATGACTTATATAGCATTTCTTATAATCATCACCTTGAGATAGTTACAATTATTCCCATTTTCTAGGGGCAGAGGCCAAGTTTATTCACTGGGATTTAAACCTAAGCTATCATCTCACACTTTTGCATTTAATTGTTGTGAGGGTTCTAATGTACTTGCCTCAACTTTTTAGATTATGAAACTAGTTTAGAGAAATGAGGTGACTTAAGTTCAGAACAATGAAGTAGAGAAGCTAGAATTCAAACCTATGTCTCTTTATCGCTAGAGTTGCACTATCCAATGCAGTAGCTACTAGCTATATGTGGTTACTAAATTCTTGAAATTTATCTAGTTGAAATTGAGATGTGTTTACATATAAAGTGCATATAAGATTTTGAAGACTTAATATGGAAAAAATGTAAAATCTTATAAATTTTTTATCTTAGTTATATATATTTTATATTGAATTAAATATATTACAAGTAATTCCACCTGTTTTTATTTTAAAGTGGCTATTAAAATTTTTATTTATTTATTTATTTATTTATTTATTTATCCTCACCAGAGGATATTTTTTCCAGTGATTTTTGGAAGGGAAGGAGGGAAAGAGAGAGACACACACATCAGTGTGAGAGAGACACATCAATTGGTTGCCTCTCTGCCTCTCTGAAGTGCCCAGACAGGGATCAAACTTGCAACCCAGGTACATGCCCTTCAGTGCACTGGGTCGAAGCCCTATCCACTTCGGCCAGGGTATGCTATTAGAAAATTCAAATCAATGGAATAGAATTGAAAGTCCAGAAATAAACCCATGTATCTACGATCAATTGATTTTTTTACAGGGTGCCAAGACTACTCAATAGAGAAAGAATACCCTTTTCAACAAATGGTGGTGGCACAATGGGATAACCACCTGCAAAAGAATAAAACTGGATCCCTACCTCACACTATGTACAAAATTAAGTCAAACTAGATTAAAGAGCTAAATGTAGATCTAAAACTATACAACCCTTAGAAGAAAACATAGGTGTAAGTCTTCATGACCTTGGTTTCTTAGATATGGCACCAAAGCACAACGAACCAAAGGGGGGGGGGAATTTGTTTTGCATCAACAGACACTATGAAAAAATGAAAAGACAACCCACAGAACGGGAGAAAATATTTGTGAATCACATATCTCATAAGGATCGAGTATCCAGGCTATATAAAGAACTCATAACTCAATAATAAAAAGACAACCTATTTAAAAATGGACAAAGAGTTTGAGTGGATGTTTCTGTAAAGAATGTAATACAAACGGGTAATAACACATAAAAATGTATTCAACATCTTAGTCATTAGGGAAATGTAAATCAGAATCACTTCACTCTCAATAGCCTGACTAAAATAAAAGATAGACAATAACAAGTGTTGATGAGGTTGTGTAGAAATTGGAATCCTCATACATTGCTGGTGGGAATATAAAATGATGCAGCTCCTTTTGAAAACAGTTTGGTAGTTCCTTAAAAAGTTAAACATGGAGCCCTAACTGGTTTGGCTCAGTAGATAGAGCATCAGTCTATGGGGTTCTGGGTTCGATTCTGGTCAAGGGCATGTACCTTGGTTGCAGGCTCAATCCCCAGTGGGGGGTGTGCAGGAGGCAGCTCATTGATGTTTCTCTCTCATTGATGTTTCTGGCTCTCTATCCCTCTTCCTTCTTCTCTGTAAAAATCAATGGAATATATGTATTTTTTAAAAAGTTAAACATGGGGTTGACTATATGACTCAGCAGTGTCACTCCTAGGCATACACCCAGGAAAACAGGAAATATATTTTCACCCAAAAATTTGTACATGAATAATCATAACAGCATAATTGATGAATCAATTAAAAATGTAGTATATCTATATTTTAGAATATGATTCAACCATAAAGAGGAGGGAATCATGTTGCAACATGGGTGAACCTTGAAACATACTAAGAAGCTAGTGTAAAAAGACCACATAATGGCCCTAACCGGTTTGGTTCAGTGGATAGAGCATCAATCTGTGGACTGAAGGGTCCCAGGTTCGATTCCAGTCAAGGGCATGTACCTTGGTTGCGGGCACATCCCCAGTAGGAGGTGTGCAGGAGGCAGCTGATCGATGTTTCTCTCTCATCAATGTTTCTAACTCTCTATCCCTCTCCCTTCCTCTCTGTAAAAAATCAATAAAATATATATTTTTTAAAAAGACCACATAATGTATGATTCTGTTTACATGAAATGTCCAGAACAGCCAAATCCTATAAAGTAGAAGTTGTTATGGGTTGGGAAATGGGGAATGACTACTAATGGGTACTGGGTTTCTTTTGATTCTGAAATTAGGTAGTGGTGGTGGTTGCATAACTTTGTGAATGTAGGGGAAAACACTAAATTCTGTACTCTAAAAGGTCAAATTTTATAGCATAGGAATTATATCTCAATAGAAATTTACACATATAACTTCCATTATATTTTTACTGGACAGCACTCTTCTAGAATATTAACCATGATGCCAGGTACCAAGAGATCCCACAATACAGTCTTTGGATGGTGATCTCACAGAAAGAGCCTGAGCTGCAGTCCCATTCCATAGACCCTGGGCCACTTCTTCTTTCCCTCGGATGTGATGTGGGTCTTCCCCATACCAGCTCTGTGGCTGTGTGGGGGTGGCAGAAGCATCACTAACCTTGTTCCCCAGGTCCGGGACACCCTGATGCTGGCAGACAAGCCCTTCTTCCTGGTGCTGGAGGAAGATGGCACAGTGGTAGAGACAGAAGAGTATTTCCAAACCCTGGCAGACGACACAGTGTTCATGGCCCTCCAGAAGGGGCAGAAATGGCAGCCCCCATCAGACCAGGTGAGGTGCCGCCTGTGGAGGGAGAACATTGGCTTTAGAAGTCCTTGAGGGGTGCCAACCACACACTTGTCTTGATGCAGGGCTCTAGGTACCAACTCTCCCTCTCCCGTAAGCCTGCCAAGAAGATCGACGTGGCCCGAGTAACCTTTGACCTGTACAAGTTGAACCCACAGGACTTCATTGGCTGCCTGAATGTAAAGGCAACTCTCTACGGCACATACTCCCTTTCCTACAATCTTCACTGCTATGGGGCCAAGCGCGTCATGAAGTGAGTGAATTGGGATTCGCTGGGGGCAGGGTGGGTATGCAGCAATGGGAGAGCCCCTATCTGCTCACATGGACCTCAGCCTTTTAGGGCCTGGAACTGGTATTGATGCTGACAAAGCATGACAGCATGTGCTAGATCTTACGGCTGAACTAGTGCTTTACATTTCACTCATGTATGCCAAGGGGTACACATACTCCTCCAGGTAGAACTGGGATAGATTTAGTTTTTCTAATTATCTTCTATTATAACAATTATTTTTTTCACTTAAAATACTAAGTTTTCCTAAGTAGTCTTCTAGTCAACTGTTAAAAATGAACATGTGTCAGAGATTTTATTGAATTTACTAATTAATGAGAGAAAAGAAGTTACAATCAGTTCCAGGGAGAATTCAAAACCTCACCTATATGTATGTCCATCAAGAATGCTGAAATAGCCCAAGCTGGTTTGGCTCAGTGGATAGAGTGTTGGACTGCGAACTGGAAGGCCCCAGGTTAGATTCTGGTCAGGGCACATGCTGAGGTTGTTGGGCTCGATCCCCAGTAAGGGGAGTGCAGGAGGCAGCCAATCAATAATTCTCTCTCATCATTGATGTTTCTATCTCTCTTTCCCTCTCCCTTCCTCTCTGAAATCAATAAAAATGTATTTAAAAAAAAAAAAGAATGCTGAAATAGCCCTAACTGGTTTGGCTCAGTGGATAGAGCCTTGGCCCGAGGACTGAAGGGTCCTGGATTCTGGTCAAGGGCATGTACTTTGGTCATGGACTTGATCCCCAGTAGGGGGCTTGCAGGAGGCAGCTGATTGATGTTTCTCTCTCATCCATGTCTCTAACTCTCTATTCCTCTCCCTTCCTAAAAAAATACATATATTTAAATATATTTTTTATTGATTTCAGAGAATTTCAAAGTATTTTTATGTGTAGATGTTTATGGCTCTAATTGTCTTTCTATCCCCCACCACTACCTCCATCTGAATTTTATTTATTTATTTATTTATTTATTTTTAGAGACAGAGGGAGAGAGAGAAAAAACATTGATTGGTTGTTCCACTTATCATTGATTGGTTGTTCCACTTATTTATGCATTCATTAGTTGCTTCTTGTATGTGCCCTGACCGGGGATTGAACCCGAAATCTTAGCATATCGGGACTGGCCAGGGCTTCCACCAGAATTTATTGAATGATGGTAAATAGAAGACAAGTTTTATTATCAACCAGGAAGTAATCCCCTCTGGGACTGACACCACTAGTGACTCTCATCTATCTTTTAAAAAGATTTGGCTAAGAACTTAGTTAAAATGGTCAAGCATTCAACTAGTTACTCTTGGCCCCACATTTCCCCTACTCTTCTACACATCAGACCCCATGTTAAGTGATTTATGCTATTTCAACCTCCTAACCCTGTGTGGGATCACTATGATCCCAGGGTCTACAACAGATGTTGTGAAGGGCAGAGTTATGATCTTCATGTTTTGTAGATCAATATAACATCATCTACATAACATGAGATGTAGATCATGTTATATTGGTTGGTCCAAGTAGTATTACAAAAGTAATAGGTCTTGTTGGACCCAAGGGTCTCGGGTTAGATTCCTGGTCAAGGGCACGTATCTTGGTTTTGGTTCAATCAGAGTACATGTGGGAGGCAACCAATCAATGTGTCTCTTACATCAACGTTTCTTTCTTTCTCTGTTCCTCTCCTTTTTCCTCCCTTCCACCCTCTCTAAAAATCAATGGAAAAAATATCCTCCAGTGAGGATTAAAAAAATAAATTAAACAAACAAATAAATAAATGGCCTTGTTAAATGAGCTTGAATTTTGGACATCTCAATTAAGGTACAATTGCAGGTAATGCCTGTAGACCCTTTCCCATTTGCTGGGGGAAGGCAGCATCTGTTCCTATTTGCATATCACTCTGCAAGTTATGAAATTAGTAAGAGAGCATGGGGGAGGAGCATTTAGGAGATGCAGCCAGGAGTTTTCTCTGTATTTTAACTCTGCTGCCTTCTCCTTCCACCCAGGGAAGCTCTTCGCTGGGCCCTCTTCAGCATGCAGGCCACAGGCCACATGCTGCTCGGCACCTCCTGTTACATGCAGCAGCTTCTGGACGCCACGGAGGAAGGGCAGCCCCCTAAGGGCAAGGCCCCATCCCTCCTCCCGACCTGTCTGAAGATACTGCAATGAAGGCCCAAGTCCTCGAAGGCCTTCTCCAGCCAAGGACTAGCCTGGGAACCCCATGCTCAGCTGGTAGCGCCCACAAGCCTGACAGTTAGAGAGCTTCTTACCTCCCTACGTCTCCCTCACCCACACAGGACTATGAATGTGGAAGCAGGGGGGAGGGCTGGAAGCCTGGGATGGGATGGCCAAAGGAGAGTTGAGGGTTTTTGTCCGGGCCGAGCTCCTCCCTGTCCAAGGTAGCTTAGCTGACCAAGACTGGTCGCCAGCAGGCTAGGCACGAAGTCTGCCCGTCGGCTGCCGGTCCTCACATGCTGTACTTTCATCACACTCCCTACCTCCTGGCCCCCATCCCTAATACTCCTGAGTGAATTGTCAGGCCCATTAGTATATGATATTAGAGAGTTGGCAATAAATGGTTCATGCTGATACATCTTTGCCTGTGTTCTTTGGAGATGAGGGTGGAGTTCTATCTGGAAGGTTGGACAGGTCTAAAGGAAAAGAGAAATCTATTGTCAAACCAGTCTCCAAAATATGGGGTTACAGGAAACAGCACTTTTTCTGCCAAAAATGTCTGCTGAATCAGAGACTTGAGCAAACCATATAATCCATACACTAAGTAATAATTTACAAAAGAAATTTGCCTATCAGAAGGGTTTTGATCAGCAGGGTGCGATTAAGGCACTCTTCTAACTTCTCACTGTTGCATTTTATTACAACCTTTTAAGTGTTTAGGACTCAGTGGTCGGCAAACTCATTAGTCAACAGAGACAAATATCAACAGTACTTCTTCAAAATAGACTCGCCCAGGCCAAAAACCAACTTCTGCGCATGGGCCACGAAGTTTCAATCGCACTGTACATGCACCCGCACGTGGTATTTTGTGGAAGAGCCACACTCAAGGGGCCAAAGAGTGGCATGTGGCTCGCGAGCCGCAGTTTGTCGACCACTGGTTTAGGTGGTAAAGCACTAACCACGCTGTAACACAGCTCTCAATCAATGCCTTCCCTAGCTTGGCAGACAGTTCAGAACTTTCAGCCTCAGGATTTCAAAATGAGCTGTTAGGTAGCCACAAAGAATATTAATTTCTCATCAGTGTGAGCTGGCATTTTTCAATATAGGACAACTCAAACAAAACAAGCAAGAAATGTTTGCAGGTGACCATGCTTTAGTCTGTAACTCTCAGAGTCAACAAAGTGTCATTTCTGACCCTTACTTAAAGTCTATTTGGGTTTATTAAGAACAAAGACAAAGGCCTGGGTTACCAAAGCTAGAGTTGGAGAGTTAATGCTGGCAGCTGACCCATACCCGGCAGCATGTGCGGGAGGAGCTGCCAGAGCTAGCAGAACACTTTCTATTCTGGGCTTTCCTGCTCTTTTTGCAGTTATGGCCGGAGGCTTGGCTCAGTGCCATCCTGGCTCCATGGGGTGGGCCTTCTCACATGGAGGCACATTGTTTATATCAGCACAGAAGCTGTTTCTGGTCACCCTTTGCTGAGCCTGTGGCCTACCTGTTCCTGCTGTAAAGTTAGTCATACACTGAGTTGGGCTGGGGGTGGAAGAGGCTTGGACTTTGTCTCCACTCCCCCTCCTTCTGAGATTCAGAGCTTCACAAAGGAGTACTGAGTGACTGACTCTTGACACTGAGCCCTCCCAGCCCAGGAAAACTTAGGTTCTTCCTTTTCTTCAAGGAGCGTGGAGATTAATGGAGTCACACCAGCAGTGGGCAGTGAATAGGAGAAGACATGCCTTGATGAGTCTGGGGCACGTGGAGGGAAAATCTGAAAGAATGTGGGAGCTCAAGTCTCAACAGGGCCAGCAGCCAGTCCAAGTAGAGGAATGGTCCCTTGGGGCCAGTGGAGGAGAGGTCTGCTGCAGTTAGAGCAGGCTGCGTCCCGGCCACTCAGCCTTAGTCTTTCCATCTTGCTCAAGCTGGCACAGGAGACCTTTCAAAAGGATTCTAAAATACCGTGGGGCCTACCCTGACTGGGTAGCTCAGTTGGTTAGAGCATCGTCCCCGTACACCATGGTTGGGGGTTCGATCCCCAGTCAGGGCACATACAAGAATCAATCTATGAATGCATAAATAAGTGGAACAACAAATTGATGTTTCTCTTTCTCCTTTCCTCTCTTTCTCTAAAACCAATAAATAAAAATTTAAAATACCATGGGACTTGCCATAGCTGGTTTGGCTAAGTGGATAGAGCATTGGCCTGCAAACTGAAGGGTCCCAGGTTTGATTCCAGTCAAGGGCACATGCCCAGATTGTGGGCTCAATTCCCCAATAGGTGGAGTGCAGGAGGCAGCCGATCAATGATTCTCTCTCATCATTGATGTTTCTATCTCTCTCTCCCTTTCCCTTTCTCTCTGAAATCAGTCCTATATAATAAAAGGGTAATATGCAAATTGTCCCCTCGACTGGGAGTTCCACCAGAGTTCGACCAGAGGGCGGGGCTGGCCCGCCAACCGCCCAGGGTTCCTCCCCCAGGCTAGCCCCATCCCCGATCGCCCCCCCGCCTGGATGGGGTGCGGGGCTGGCCCACCGACCCCCTGCGACCCCTCCCCCAGGCCGGCCTGACCAGATCACCCTGATCGGGGCTGGCCACTGGACCCCACCTGTGCACGAATTCATGCACTGGGCCTCTACTAATAAATAAAAAAATACCATGGGACCTATGACAAAACACAGTAATGTCCAAGCCCCAAACAAGATAAAACCACACCACTTGCATTATTGCCAAAGTTCTTGCCAGTCCTGTCTATATTTGCCCACATCTACTTAAGAATTGGTTATTTAAATATTTGAATTAGAAAAAGTTCTTGAGGTATAACTTACATATAATAAAATTTACCCTTTTAAGGTATATACTAGTAGTTCAATTAACTTTGGGCAAATTGATACAGTATGTAGCCACCACTTCCAGCATGCCAAAAAGCTCCTTTATGCCCCTTTCTAGTCAATCCTATTCCCCCACCCACCCCAAGCCCTTGGCATCCACTTGGTTTTCTGCCAAAATAGTCTGCCTTTTCTAAAATGTCATGTAAATAGAATCACACTGTCTTTTAAAAATTTAGTTCTATCAAATTTTAGTTTTGAAATTTTTTATTATTTTGAAATTTTTATGAATCTTACAATCTTTTATGCTTTAGATATTTAAATTAGGTGTGTGTGTATATATAAGAAATATATCAATGAGATAAAAAATTTAAGCAGTTCTAAAGGGAAAACATATTTATTCATCTTCTCACCTCTGATTCCTTCTCAGGAAGCAACCACCATCTTGTTTTTGTGTGTCCTTTTGAAACCGGACACAAAACAGGTCCGGGGCTGCCCGTCACTACTTGAGCCAAATTAAGCAGAGACAAGGTTGAATTACATGAGCATTTAATCCAAAAATGCCAGCAGTATGGAGAGAGCAGCAGGTCATCCTGAAAATTCTGCTCTAACATCTCCTACTAGTTGGCTGATTGTATAGGATAAGGAAGAAGGGCTACGTGCAAGGAGGAAGGGAGACAGGATAAGGGCTGCAGGGTCCATGGTCCCTGTGTCTCCTTCCAGGATCTTGAAGTCTAATAACAAGGTAGTTAATTTACTATGATGTTAAAAACCAGCTCAGCCTGTTCCTGGGACTGGAGAATGGTCAGCATTCCTGAGGTGAATTCCCGGAGGGGGTCAGGGTCCTGGCACAGCAACCAAATAAATCAAAGTGTTTCCTTGAATTTTTTTGAGTAATGGACCTATCCAGGCTCCAAGGCATTGTATCTTTTTACAGCCTTGTTTTTCTTCTTGCAGCAGATTCTCCAGTTTCCCAGGATCTGTAAGAAAACCTGTTATAGACCGCCCAGCCGGTGTGGCTCGGTGGTAGAGCATGACCCATGCACCAACAAGTCCAATTCTCAGTCGGGGCATACACCCGGGGTTATGGGCTCGATCCCCAGCAGGGGGCGTGCTAGAGCAGCCAATCAGTGTTGCATGGATGTTTCTATCTCCTCCCTCTCCCCTCCTCTCTCTCTCAAATCAATAAAAACATACTTAAAAAATTTTTTTAAACCTCTAACCTATAGTTAGTAAAGTGAATAATCATTAAACAACTGTGGTCCTGTTCCTATTATGTGCCCTTCTCCCTATCACTTTCAGAAATCTAGGAATATATAAATAAAACAAATATACATAAATTGCACACGCATTTACAGTCATGCACCCCATAATGATGGGGATAGTTCTGGGAAATGCACCGTTAGACAATTTCATTGTTGTGTGAGCATTATAGAGTGCACTTACACAAACTTAAATGGTATAGCCTACTACACACCTAGGCTACAATCCTGTAGAGCATGTTACTGTACAAAACAACATGAGATTAAATCAAGCACAAAAGAAAATTATGCAATTCATTGATGCAGTAAGTATGAGATGTATGATCCTGCTGCTAGTATAACATGGCATACTGTTTTATGATAAACTTTTTTTTTAAAATATATTTTATTGATTTTTTACAGAGAGAAAGGGAGAGAGATAGAGAGTTAGAAACATCGATGAGAGAGAAACATCGATCAGCTGCCTCCTGCACATCTCCCACTGGGGATGTGCCCGCAACCCAGGTACATGCCCTTGACCAGAATCGAACCTGGGACCTTTCAGTCCGCAGGCCGACGCTCTATCCACTGAGCCAAACCGGTTTTGGCATATGGTAAACTTTTTTTTAATAAGTAGAAAGAGTACACTCTAAAGTAATGATAAAAATATAGTATAGTGAATACATAAACCAGTCCCATAGCCATTTATTACTATTTTTAAGTATTATATACTGTACAGAATTGTATACACTATACTTTTCTATGAAAGGTTTGTCTACACCAGCATCACCACAAACATGTGAGTTAAGCATTGTGCTATGACAGTGTAACAGCTTCAACCTCACTAGGTGATAGTAATATTTCAACTCCATTATAATCTTTTAAAAATATTTTAAGTGATTTTTAGAGGGAGAGAAACATTGATGAGAGAGGTTTTTAAAAGATATTTTAAAAATTTTTTAGAGAGATAGGGAGAGGGAGAAAAAGAGAAACATTAATGTGAGAGTGAAACATCAATCAGGTGGGAACACCCTGTACCAGGGATTGAGCCTGCAACCCAGACATGTGCCCTGACCTAAATAGAACCAACAACCTTTTTGTGCATAGGAGGAAGCCTAACCAATGAGCCACACTGGCCAGGGCTCTATTATATTTTATGCAACCACCTTCACATGTGGTCCGTAGTTGACTGAAATATCATTATGCAGAACATGGCTATATATATGTGTGTGTGTGTGTGTGTGTGTGTGTGTGTGTGTGTGTGTATATATATATATATATACACATACATATACAGCACATGCATATTCTAGTCACACTGCCCTTCACTTTGTTCTTTTTACTTAATATTCTCTGGAGATTGAGTCATACCAGCACATATAGACCTATACATTCCTTAATGGCTGCATGGTCTGGATGTGCTACAATTGACTTAGCCATCCCTCTGTTGATGGATTTAGGTTAATTTGAAGTCTTTTGTTAATGCAAACAATGAATTAAAAGTTATAGTGCTCTTAGTAAATAAATAAAACAATGCACAGGTTCCATGTGATTTTTCCATAGTTGTAATTACAGAAAATAATCCATTTTGTTCTTTTTTTTTTTTTTTTTTACTTAGTTCATTTCTCTTGTTGTTCCCTACCTCTGCTTCCTGGTGAATTTCTATAAGTTCTTCACACCTGCCAATCATAACCCATGCTTGGACACCTTTTGATTTCACCTGGTTCCTCACTCCTCTCTAAATCTGCACAGGGTTTATCAAGGTGTGTTGTGATGCTGTGATCTGAACTGTATCCACTTGGTTGAACTTCCTGTGAGTAGTGCCTGGGTCTTGCTAATCTGTGTTCCCCAGTTGCCAGGGCCTGGAATAGAGTTAGCATGAAAAAGATGTTGAATAGGCCTAGCCAGTTTGGCTCAGTGGATAGTGTCGGCCTACAGACTGAAGGGTTCCGGGTTAGATTCTGGTCAAGGGCACATGCCTGGGTTGTGGGCTCGATCCCCAGTTGGGGGCGTGCAAGAGGCAGCTGATCTGTGATTCTCATCTTTGATGTTTCTATCTCTCTCTCTCCCTCTCCCTTCCCTTCTGAAATCAATAAAAATATATTTTAAAAAAAATGTTGAATAGGTGATATATTAGATTTATTTCCTGTATAGAGCTAATCACAGGACAATTTATGTTTACAGTTTTGAGGCTTGTTTTGTTTTTGCTTTGATAAATAATGCTTTAGTGAATCTCCTGCCTCTGGACTTTCTCTCCTTTTGGCTTGTGCACCAGGCTGTTCTTCCAAGCAGTTTACTGGATTTTCCTCACCCCTACCCCCAACTTGCCTTAAGACAGTGGCTTTTTGAAGTCAGAAGGCTTCTAGAATTAAAATGGTAATTAGAAAACCTAACGTTCGTTCAGTTTTGTCCTGAGACATCCTCTCTGACCCTGATGAATTCCTCCTCTGCTCTGTCTCAGGTTCCCTGTCAACATTAAGAAATATTCAACCCTGTGAAGAATTTTTGTGAGTTTATTTGAGCCAAACTGTCGACAAATGCCGGGAAGCAAAATCTCAATGGATTGAGATAATGCTCTGGAGAATGGCAGTTATGCACTTTGTGTGTGTTTTAATATATATTTTTTATTGATTTCAGAGAGGAAGGGAGAGATAGAGAGATGGAAACATCAATGAGAGAGAATTATTGATTGGCTGCCTCCTGCACGCCCCCTACGGGGGGTGGGGGTGGATTGAGTCCACAACCCGGGCATATGCCCTTGTCCGGAATGGAACCTGGGACCTTTTAGTCTGCAGGCGGATGCTCTATCCACTGAGCCAAAGCCGCTAGGGCTGCACCTTGTTTTATACATTACAATCAAATGGGTTACATGAAACCCATTGGTGATAGATTAGGAAGGTGGGAGAAAGCAAAGTGGGGCGGAGGAGGGAGGGGAAACTCTGGGGTTGGATAAAAAGTAAGATGATAGACACACTTTTTACTTAGGTGGGTCAGGAGAGTTAACAGTCAACAAACGAACTCAATAACAAGGCCATCTGTGGTCTCTGCAGACTGGTGCCCGTGCTTTGAGGGGTCTGGAAGATTACTTTGACATTCCAACGATATGTATCCAGGTGCAAAGGAACAACACAGTCTCCGTTATGATAAAGATGGACCTTTTCCAGGTAAGATACTGGCCTACAACATGACTACCCACCATAAACTGCTTTTAGTTCCCAACGTTTTAATTTCAGACCATCCTTTGTGGTTCCTTTAGGCCTCTGAGTTTGCAAGGCGGTCGTGCAGGCTTCCCTTACCTAGCCAGGTTAGCATGCGGCCTCTTCCCGTCAACCTTTCGCCCGTTTTGTACGTAGAGAGCCTCTGCGACCCTGGCAAACCCCTCCTCTACTCTGTGCCTCCGGCTCCCCAGAAGCACTTCCTTCCAGGCGAAGGCGAACTTCCGCCTTCTCACGGCTCTAAAGCCCCGCCTTCTGGCTTTTCCGATTGACAGTCGATCTGACCAATCAGCGTGCTGTGGGCTAGCGTGGGGCGTGGGGCTGCCCTCTGGACACATGCGCACTGATTTCGCAGGGAAATGGGTGGCTACCGGGTGTTGGGCCGGGTCTGGGGCGGCTGGTGGCGAGGGCCAGGGGTCGGCTCAGCTCGCAAGGTCGCAGGCTTTGGCACCGAGGCCCGGTGATTGCACACACCCCCATACACACTTCCGTGGGGTGGGAGGGGGCGCTGGGGGAAGGAGTGTGCGGGATCTGGAGTTAGGAAGATACGGGTTCCAATGCTGGTTCTGCTGTATGATGGCACATTCGTCACTAGTCCTCTCTGAGCCTCAGTCTTCTCCTCTGTAAAATGGGGCCAGTCGAACCTGAGTTTTCGGAGACCTCCGCCCAGGCATTCTGAGGCAATTGTTAGGATTTAGGAAGGGTGTGTGAGGTAAGAATGGGCGGCACCTCGGTAAACACACTCCCCTGTTGCTTACTCCACCTTCTCCAGGCGTCAGCTGCAACCTCGAGGCTCCAGCAAGCGATCAGGGTCCCTGGGAAACCAGTCCTTCCCAGGGCTGCTGCAGCCAGAGAACCTCAGTCGGGAGGAGCTGGTCGATGTGCTGAGGGCATCTGTGGTGGACCAGAAAGGTGAGCGTGAGCGAGAGAGCTGCACAGAGAGGGGAGGGGAGCGTGCTGCCCCGAGCCTTCTGGCCAACTGAATGGGCTCCCCATTAAAAGCCTTTGGGGGCCAATCCTGGTCTGCCTCCTATTAGAGCAGTGGTTCTCAACCTTCTGGGCCCTTTAAATGCAGTTCCTCATGTTGTGACCCAACCATAACATTATTTTTGTTGCTACTTCATAACTGTAATGTTGCTACTGTTATGAATCGTAATGTAAATATCTGATATGCAGGATGGTTTTAGGCGACCCCTGTGAAAGGGTCGTTCGACCGCCAAAGGGGTCGCAACCCACAGGTTGAGAACCGCTGTATAAGAGTCATGGGCAGGAATGAGCCACATAATCTCTCTGAGCCTCTGCATTATGGGGTACGGGGTGGGAAGGTGGAAAGAGCTAGAGAGTGTTAAACACGTTAGGCACTTCAGAATGGGAATTGCTGTAATAAATTGCTAATTGGTGGACAAAACACAGGCTCTGGAGTCAGATCTAGGCTCTGTAATCAGCTTGCTGTGTGGCTTTAGGAAAGTAACAATTTGAGCCTCAGTCTTCATTCAGCTATTTAATACTTCTCTTAACTATTTATTGAGCATAGGCTATGTTCTAGACACCAGGCATGGCTATACAAGATAAATATGGTTCCTGCACTCAGCGAGCCAATATTTTAGTGGGAGAAACGGATTAAACAAATGAACAAGGTAGTTACTAGTGATCAGTGCTATGAATAAAACAGTGGTATGACGGTGAGGGACTGTAGGAGTGGGGCAGACATTAGATTGCAGAATTAGGCCTCTGCTGGTGACATCTGAGCCAGGATGATATGAAGGAGACAGACATGAAAATCTGGGACAGAAGAAACAGCAAATGCAAAGGCCCTGAGGTGGCAGGAGCTTCCCATACGTGAGGGACAGGAAGAAGTTTAGTTTAGGGTGTGGTTGATAACATGTCTGAGAGTTGTGGTGGGGCCTCATGATAAGATGAATTGAGCCAGAGGGAAGGGGGGGCAGGGGCTGGGTGGAGGGGGGCAAAGGGAGTGGGGAAATGGGACATCAGTAACAGTGTCAATAATAAAAATAAAGAGAAAAAGATGAATTGAGAAAGTGCTTTGTAAACTCTAACTGCTGCTTTTTCTGTCAATGATGTTCCTGTATGTCTGTCTTAGGACCACTAGTGACGCTGAACAAGCCACAGGGTCTCCCAGTGACAGGTATGAGCAGGGGAAGGAGATGCACTGAAAGGGGGTTTGATGTCTCTAAGGAGGGAATAGTGAAGAGAAGGGGGTGATGGGATAGAGTTGCCTCTGGAGCAACTTGTATTTTTTCTTTCTTTTTTTTTCCAGGAAAACCAGGAGAGCTCACTTTGTTCTCAGTGCTGCCAGAGCTGAGCCAGTCCCTGGGGCTTGGGGAGCAGGAGCTCCAGGTTGTCCGAGCATCTGGGAAGTAAGTGGTGGGGGTGATTGGACGGTAGGATAGGCATCCATCTAGGGTTAGGGAACAGTTGCTTAGAAAGAAGCTGAGGCATTTCCATGGCTGGTTTGGGATCATAGAGATAGAATACAAGGTGCAGGAGGGAGCAGACCGATCTGGGTTCAAATCCTCATGCACAAACTGGCATCTTAGGCAAAGCATGAAACCTCACTGAGCCTCAGTTTCCTGAATCATTAATAGAGCTAATACTAGTAAGAGCCATGTTCAGTATGCAGACACTTTTCCAAGTCCATACTCATGGCAGGCATGGCCATGAACTGATCATCGATATTCTTTCGTCCAACTGCCATCAATTAGAGATGGTACTTGAGAAGAAATATTTTTGCACTTTCACAAACTCCTTGGCTTGAGTGTGGGGAATTTAATTATTTCAGAGATAATATATATATAAAATTAGTAGTATAGGGCTTGGCACATGGTGGACACTCCGCAATTGGTGGTAATTGTTGTGACACTTAACTCTGAGCTCCCTGGGATCCAAGGCGGAGTGAGAGACACATTGAGCTGCATAGCCTTATCAAGCACGAGGAAGCCCTGTTTCTCAGGAGGAGGTCTGGGCTGTAATCTGGTATTACTGTTTGGCCTTAAACAGGTCAGTGTTTCTCCTTTTTTTGTGAGTGAGCCCAAGGGACTTTAACTCTCATGACTTGTCTGTCCCCTTCCTTCAGGGAGACCTCTGGGCTTGTGCTCCTCTCCAGTTGTCCCCAGACAGCAAGCCGCCTCCAGAAGTTCTTCGCCTACTCACGAAGAGCCCAGAGACCCACGGCCACCTACTGGTGAGAGGTGCTGGGAGGCTCCGCGGCCGTGGGGCGGTCCCGCCAGGCCCCTCCATGACCGCCTCCTGCCTCTTCCTCAGGGCTGTCACTGATGGGATCCCCGCTGCTTCTGAGGGGAAGATCCAAGCAGCTCTGAAACTGGAATACGTTGATGGCGTTGGTTCAGTGAGTCAGGGTCTGGGTGGGGAACAGGAGACTCTCCAGACATATTACTCTTACAGGGGAGTTAAGGGTATGGACGTGAGGTAGCTGGCTCTCCCGTCTCCCAAAACAGGCACGTGACCACTGCCTATACCGCCTGTCCTGAGTAGCAGGGAGGGTTTGGGTATAGCTCCCAGGTATGTGTGAACTTGTTCATTCTCGGGGGCTGATACCACAGGTAGTTCCAGTGAAGTCCCCGTCCCGAAAGGACATCCTGGAAGGTGTCAAGAGGACCCTAAGCCACTTCCGTGTGGTGGCCACAGGCCCTGGCTGTGCTCTGGTCCAGCTGCAACCAGTAACAGGTGGGTCTAGAGCCCCAGCCAGATTTTAGAACTGCATTTGGCTGGGGAGGTGTGGGAGGGGGAGGAAGGTGGTAGTGTTAGGAGCAGCCTGGGGAGCATTTGATGGACCCCAAAGGTGTATGTGACCAGGCCCAGCTTGTCTTCTATTGTCAATCTAATGGTCATTCCTTTGTAGCTCATCAACTTTTTCTCTTATTGATCTCAGGATCTTCTCTTTGTCTTTAGTGTTCTGTAATTTCCCTATGATAAATCTAGGTGTGGGGGTTTATTTTTATGTTGCTTGGGATTCACTGTGCTTCTTGAATCTGAAGATTAATATATTTCATCAGTCCTGGAAAGTTCTCTTTCCAAATGTTGTGCCTCTTGCATTCTCTCTATTCTCTTCCTTTTCAATGCCTAATACCGTAGACATGTTTGACCTTCTCATTCTATTCCCTATGAACTTTTCTTTCATATTTTTTTATTTCTTTATCTCTGCTGCACTCTGGGTAATTTCTTTACTTTTGATTTGAGAGAGAGAGAGGAAGGAAGGGAGAGAGAGAAACACCCATCTGTTGTTCCACTTTGGCTGATTCCTGTATATGCATTGATTGGGATTGAACCCTCAACCTTGGTGTATTGGGACGACGCTCTACCCAATTGAGCTACCTGGCCAGGGCCTGGGTAATTTCTTTAGATCTATCTTCCAGTTGAGTAATTTTCCTTTAATTGGATCTAATCTGCAAATTTAACCTATCCATTGACTGTATTTTTCACTTCTAGAAGTTCTGTTTGGTTCTTTTATAAATACAAATGGCCTTTTAAAAAACATGTCATGCTTTTTTACCCATATTATTTGTTCTTTTTTTTTTTTTTTTTAGTCTTTAATCATTTTAAACAATTGTGTTTCTATAATTCCACTGTCTGAAATTCTTGAGGGTCTAATTCTGTCGTGTTTCCCACCGACTCTCTCACTTGGTGGATTAGGTTCAGCTGGGCCTCTGTGGTATCAATGCCTAATACCATAGACATGTCTGACCCTCTCATTCTATTCCCTATGAACTTTTCTTTCATATTTTTTTATTTCTTTATCTCTGCTGCACTCTGGAAACCCTTTATTGCCTCATTGGATGTGGGCCCTTTGGGAGAGGTTCCGCCTTTGCTTCTGCTGAATGCCTCAGGACTATCACTACTTTAGGATCTCCCTAAATATTAGTTGCAGTTGCAAGTTCACAGAGAAGTAGTAGAGCCCCAAACCTGTGTGAGAACAGGCTCATGGCTATGAATTTTCAGGGGAATGGTTCATTCCTCTTATCCAGTCCTAAGGTAATCATCTGCCTTCGTTGGTGGCTGGCTTTTTCTCCTGGTCCACCATTTTCATTGGGGCAGCAAGGGCTCATCCCTGGCCTCTGGGGTAGCTACTTGAACCCAGACCCCCTGGACATCAGGATTGGCAGCACTCTGAGAATAGGTGAAATGTGGGCTCTTGTGTGTTCTGGATTTGTTTTCCTTTTTGTGTTTTGGTCTTGAGGACCTTACTTGCCTGTATACCCAGTTGTGTCTTTAAAAGATTGTTGTTATATCTTCCTGGGGTTTCTAGGTGGTTTATAGCAAGAGGGTTTTTAGATTATTACCAGACATAGAAGCAGAGTACAGCTCCCGGGTTTAAATCCCAGTTTATGGTGGCAGGCAAGTCACTTCTTTTTGAGCTTTGGTTTTCCAAGATGATAATATGACCCACCTTACAGGGTTGTCATGACAATTAAATAAGTTTATATATGTGAAACATTTTGTACCATACCTAGCACATAGCCCCCTCATTTCTGTATTTGTCAAGGTACTTTTGGTTGTAAGTTTCCCAAAAGCTAGTTCAGATTGGTTTAAGACAAAAAGAATTGATTGGCTCACATAATTTGGCTGGACCAGCGGCTCAGAGGATGTCATCAGGAAGCTGTTTCTCCACTTCTTCTTGCCTCCCATACGTTGGCTTCTTTCTCCCACAGGCTCTCCCCTGGTGAAGGCGGAGATGGCCAGGGTTCCAGCAGCTCCAGGCTTACACCCCACCAGTTCAGCACCCCAGCAGCAAAGAACATGCTTTATACTCAGTAGCTTCAACAATAAATTCAGGGTTGCCTCTCTTCATGGGTGAATCTCACAGGCCAGGTGGATTTGACAGCTGTGACCATCCTGACCTGGTCATGTGCCCTGCTTTGGAGGCCCGGGCAGTAGCATCAGCCTCACGAAAACCACCTGATCTGAGAATGGGGGTGGTGTTTCCCCGGAAGAAATGGGAACAGACGATATTGGGTAGGACAGAGAGCAGCTGCTAACCGTCTGGTCTCTCCTATCTCCTAGTGTTCTCCAGTCAGCTACAGGTACACATGGTACTACAGCTCTGCCCTGTGCTCGGGGACCACAGGTATTCATCCCGCGTGGGCACTGTCCTGGGCCAACGCTTCCTACTGCCAGCGGAGAGCACCAAGCCCCAAAAACAGGTGCCCAAACTGACCTGTCTTCTGCCCTCTGGGGGTGGGCTGGGGGACGAGGGTGGGCAGATCTCCAGACCTTACCTCTGCAGCTGGGGACTGGGAGGCAGTCCCTCTTGGCTTCCAAAGCTACTGTAGCCCTGTCTTGCTGTATGGCCCTGAGCAAGTGACACCCCCCGTCTTGGGCCTCATCTGTCCCATCTGTTCACCAAGAAAGCTGAACTAGCTGATTTCTAAAGGCCCTTCTAAGGCTGCTGTTCTTTGAGTCTCTTTGGTAAAAGGGATAAAGGAGGTTGTGTATTAGGTAACTATCAGTTCTAACAGACTAGCCCCAAAGTACTAGAGTCTTTAACACATTAGTTTCCCTCCATGTTAAATCCAATGAATGGGGGATGGGGCAGAGGTGGGCTTTGCTCCAAGGAGTCACTCAGAGACCCAGGCTGTTGCTATCTAGCCAGCAGGTAAGTGGGGACAGTGCAGGTTCATGTGGGAGATTTTCATGGGCCAGGTCTGGAAGCGGCATACATACTAACACTCCCATTCCATTGGCCAGAACTCAATCACATGTCCTCACCAAACTGCAAGAGGGGCTGGGAAATGTAGTTTAGCTCTATGCTCAGGCAGAAACTGATCTGATGAACCCCTAGCCCAGTGATGGCGAACGTGTGACACGCGTGTCAGAGGTGACACGCGAACTCATTTTTTTGGTTGATTTTTCTTTGTTAAATGGCATTTAAATATATAAAATAAATATCAAAAATATAAATCTTTGTTTTACTATGGTTGTAAATATAAAAAAATTTCTATAGGTGACACGGCACCAGAGTTAAGTTAGTTTTTCAAAATGCTGACACGCCGAGCTCAAAAGGTTCGCCATCACTGCCCTAGCCAGTGCCTGCCATAGTGAGCGTGCATGAGTGTTTACATGTGCTCATGTAGAAAGGAAATTAATAACTACAGACATGGAGGGGAGGAGGAAGTACTGGCCTAACTCCCGTTTTGGTTAGAGCTGGTTGGAACTGACCTGGCTGGATGCTGACATCCTCTCCCACCGCAGGTCCTGGATGAAGCCCTCCTCAGACGCCTCCACCTGACGCCGGCCCAGGCGGCCCAGATGCCCTTGCACCTCCACCTGCACTGTCTCCACCTCCCAGGCACCAGGCCCAGGGATGCCCCCATAGAGCTTTTGGCACCTTTGCCCTCTTATTTCTCCAGGACCCTACAGTGCCTGGGGCTCTGCCAACAATAGTTCTCTTTCTGTTCCTACTGGAAAGTGGTGGGTGTGGGGGGACTGCAGGCTGGAGGAGAATGAGCTCAGTGCGCAACATGCGGTACGGTCATGGTTAGGGCTCTGTGGTTGGACTAACCTAAGATCACACCCTGGCCAGGCACTTGCTGTGTGATGTTGGACAAATAACTTCACTTCTCTGGGTTTGAGATAATAAATGCACCTAACTCATAGTATGGTTTTGAGGATTTGCTGAGAAAGTAAATGTTTACAATCGACCATGCTTTCTGTTGAGTTCAAAGTGTGGCCTTCTATTTAGCTGTTTCTGCCCCAATTCTAGTTGGGAAGAAATGTTAGATTTCTTTAAAATTGTGGTAAAACACACTTAACAAGATTTACCCTCTTACCATTGTTAAGTGTACAGTTCAGTGGGCATTAAGCACATTCACAATGTTTTGCAACCATCGCCATTATCTGTCTCCAGAACTCTTCATTTTGCAGAACTGAAACTGTACCCATTAAACACTAAATCCCCATTCCCCTCCCTGCCCCTAATAGCCACAATTCTCCTTCGTCTCTATGAATTTGACTACTCTAGAGAACCTCATGTAAGAAAGATGTTTTTTACTTTAAAAATTTGTGAAATAGATTAAACATACAGAGTGCATAAAACATCCCTGTGACTTAAAGAATAATTATAAGGTGATACCTACATAACCGTTTCTCAGGGCATGAAATAGAAACATCCTCTCTTGTAAAGCAGCAGTTTTCAACCCTAACCCACATTATAAAGCCCCCTACATAGCCTCCTCAGGAAGCTTTTAAAGATCCCCATGACTTGCCCAGCCGGTATGATGCTTGAGCATTGTCCCATGAACCAGGTCACATTCCTAGTCAGGGCACATGCGGGGGTTTCAGGCTTGATCCCCAGTACGGGGTGTGCAGGAGGCAGCCGATCGCTGATTCTCTCATCATTGATGTTTCTTTTTTTAATGTTTTTACTGATTTCAGAGAGAGGAAGGGAGGGGGAAACATCTCTTTCTCTCCCTTCCTCTCTGAAATCAATAAAAACATTTTTAAAAAAATCCCTACGCCCTGACCGGTTTGGCTCAGTGGATAGAGCGTTGGCCTGCGGACTGAAGGGTCCCAGGTTCGATTCCGGTCAAAGGCATGTACCTTGGTTGCGGGCACCTCCCCAGTAGGAGGTGTGCAGGAGGCAGCTGATCGATATTTCTAGCTCTCTATCCCTCTCCCTTCCTCTCTGTAAAAAATCAATAAAATACATTTAAAAAAAAATCCCCATGATTACGCACCCCAAAGATACTGGCTTGATCTGTCTGGAGTGGAGACCCCTAGCATTGATCTCTCTTAAAAGCTCCCTAAGAGGTTCAGTATAGGTGGGAGCCACTGCCTTGACAGAATTCTTTCCTTGCTTGTCTTTTAAGTTTTACCACATGTATGCATTCTTAAGTGATATATTTCATTTTGCCTAGTTCCCAAACTTCTATGAATGGAATCATGCTGTGTATGTTCTTTTGTGATTTGCTCTCACTCCATACTGCGAAATGCATCTGTGTTGTTGGGTGTGGAATTTGAATTCCAGTGCTTGAAGATACCATGCTGTTAATGGACAGTAGTTAGGTCATTTGGCTGTTAGACCACCAAGCTGCTGTGAACCTGATAGTAAGCATTCCCTGGTTGTTATGCAAGAGTTTCTGGGTCAGAGTATGTGTATTTTTATTTGCCTAGTGCAGTGGTTCTCAACCTTCTGGCCCTTAAATACAGTTCCTCGTGTTGTGACCCAACCATAAAATTATTTTTGTTGCTACTTCATAACTGTAATGTTGCTACTGTTATGAATCGTAATGTAAATATCTAATATGCAGGATGGTCTTAGGCGACCCTTATGAAAGGGTCATTCGACCGCCAAAGGGGTCGCGACCCACAGGTTGAGAACCGCTGGCCTAGTGTATTAGTTTCCAGGGGCTGCCACAGCCAATTACCACAACCCAAGTGACTTAAAACAATAGTAATTGTTTCTCTCACGGTTCGGGAGGCTACAAGTTTGATGTCAGGCATAGCCAAGGCTGTGTTCTCGGTGAAGGCTCTGTGGGAGAGCCCTTCTGGGTCTCTTCCAGCTTTTGGTGTCTCCAAGCGTTCCTTGGCTTCTGGCTGCATCACACCAATCTCTGCCTCCATCTTCACATGACCTTCTCGTGTTTGTGTCTTCTTTTCATAAGGACACTTATCATTGGATTGAGGGCCCACTTGGATAATCTAGGATGATCTCATCTCAAGATCTTGTCAAGATCTTACATCTACAAAGATCCTTTTACCAAATAAAATCATTAGCAGGTTCTAGATAGACATATCTTGGGGTGGGGGGTACCATTCAATCCATTACAACTAAGAAATACCTAACTTTTCAGATGGACATGGCTTGTTGGATATCTTCCTTTTAGGTGACCTTGGCCCCTTGTGAGGAAGGGACAGACCCACTATCTCTGGAGAAGGGCTGGGGTCCAGGCAAGGTCCACCCTTCCCGCTATGTCTCACATTGTAAATCTGTGTGCATTAGATGCCAGCCCAGCCCCTCCTTTGGTCTTGGGGGTTTGGGGGACTCCCAGCGGTCAGCCATTCTGGCAGTGTGTCCCAACTTCTTCCCACTGCCCTCATGATCTTGGGAAAGCCATGTCTCCTCATTCAGACTCAGTTTCATCTGTAAAGTAAGACTTATCCACCCAAAGTTCAGAGAGTTCCTGAGCAGGAAGCACCATGTCTGCCACTCTGTGGGAACTCGGGGCCTTGCTTCCTGGAGGAGTTGCTGATGGCCTCTACCTCTTGTGTGCTTTGGGGTACAGAGCCCCACACTATCCTCTCCTCACCCTCCATAGAAATGGAGCCAAGCCAGTAATACTTTACTTGCTCCTTTTTATTTGGTGCTGCATCCGGCATAGGGACTGTGAGGCCTGAAGCAAGGGCTTCTCTAGCTTCACATCCCCCATACCCCACAACCCCTGGTGTGCATTGATCAGAGGCAGGGGGCCCGGAAGGTTCAGCACCTTCATGGGGTATGCTTCTGTCTTGGGTCTGTCACAGAGTCTGGCCTTGAAGTCGCCTTTGGCCTTGTTACTCCTATGTGTGCTAGGAAGCTTTCCAACTTCAAAGGGTAGAGGCCGCAAGGCACCTCCATGATGAGGACCGTGAACGCGCTTAGAAGCAACAGCCTCGGTGCAAAAGAGGGGAGAAGGGGAAGAGATGATCAGGAATTTGTCCAGGAAGGAAATTCTAAGGGAAACAAGCCCTCCCCTTGGGGTTCCAGCCAGCCTGGGAGCTGCCCTCTGCCTATGCCCGCAAGCCCTGACCCCAGCACTCAGCATTGCCCACCAGGGAGCAAGTCATCATTTGAGCCCACCTTTCTTGGTTTCAGGATGATGGGTGCCTGCTTGAGCTCAGGGTTAGGTGGGAAAGGTATAAAAATCTTGGCAGTAGGTAGAATCATCAAGGGCTTGCCTGTGGTCAACAGGGCCTCAGAGCCCATCAGCTCGTTGTGCTGCAGTCTCAGGACCCGCCCCTGGGGTTGGCACACATGGAGAGAAGGCAGCTGCACCTTGTTGTGGAGGCTGGGGAAGTGGTAAGGGGCTGTGGGAGCAAGAGGCGCTGTGAAGGCATGGGGAGGGCCGAAGTCTGACCAGCTACCCCTCAAAGTGTGCGTGTAGGGCGGGGGAGGTGGGGAGAGATGAAGGCTGGGGCAGATGAAGGCAGATGGGAGCCCGCCCAGAGGCCATGGTTTGGACTCCAACAGACCTGGGTCTGCATCCCATCTCTGCCCCTTCTGAGCTGTGCAACCTTGGGCAACTTCCTTAAACTTCCTGATACCTTGGCTGGAAAGGGGACAATAGCACCAACCTCACTAGGTTGTGAGGACTAAAGGAGCTGGTTGGGTAGCGACACAGTGTCAACTGTTCAGTGCTGTGCAAATGTCATTCCTTTCCCCCAGAGGCAAAGGCACAACGCTGTGGCAGGAAAAACTTGGGTGCTGGGCAGAGATCTACCTGCAATTGAGTTCTGGCATCTTTGAAATAACTGCCTCACAAGGTAACTCTTTTGGAGGGGACAATACTCAGTTGTATATTTTTTAAAAATACTTTGTAAGTGGTGGCTTTTACTTGTTACTGGGTGGCTCTTTGGTGAGGTTCTGGGTAGGGGGCAAATTCAGGTGGTGAGGAAGTCCTTGAAGAGCAGGAAGAAATTGCCTGGGGTGTTTGGGGGGAACGGTCCTCCCCAGGGTCTGGAGGTTCTTCGGACTCAATAGCAATCTGTTCAAGGAGTGGGGTTGCCTATCCCCACTAGCAAAGGTGATGGTGAAAATGCAGCCCATCTTTGTGCAGGGTGGGTCCCACTTCTGGATACTGGAGTGGACCAGAGCTGTAGCACTTTTTGCCTTGCCTTTCTTCCCCTTCCCAGCAGCGGATGTGGTGGCAGTGGAGTCTGGCTTCTGGATGTGCCCCAGGTTCCTGGCCCCAGGACCTTTCCTAGGAAGTGATATGTGGCTAAGGGTCCCCGAGTCCTTGCCTTCCCCAGAGCCTTGCCGGGTCAGCAGGTGAGGGAGCGCTGTGCGGACTCCTGCCCGCCGGTGACACATCGCCATGGGCTTCTTGATGGTGGAGCCCTCTACGAGGAGCCGGATACCCACATACTGAGGCACCTCCACGGCAGGCTGTGAGGAAGAAGAGGAGACGAGGCCTACTCAGACAGTGCTGCTGGAATCCTAGGCCCAGCAGGACTCAGGGCAGAGATGGATGGAATTAGTTTCTCGGGCACCTAGTCAGGAGACACCTCTGGGCTGAGAAGCAGGAAGCCTGTCTCTGTCCTCTAAGGTGTCTGAATCGGTCCCTAGAGAGTCGCCGAGACCCTGGAATTAGTAACCCCGAGGAGTGGGGGAATCTCAGCCATGCCTCTTCTCTACTTCCTTGCCCTCGTAAGCTGCCCTGGCTCCTGCTGGAATATGTGTGGCTCTACCCCACAGACCACTGCTGACGGAAAGCTTCCTGAAGTGAGCTGGCTTCTCTGCAGAGAGAATTTGAGTTATGACACCCAGACTGATAAGAGGCTTTAACCTGCCCAGAGCCTCACCTGAACCCAAGGTTTGTGGAAGCAGAAACTAAGAGCTTTAAAGAAGGCAATTCTGTGGAGGGGATGAAGTAGCAAATATGCAGAGGGAGGCAGAGAAGTTGCTTCTGTGCAATTTCAGTTCCTATAAAGCCAATCTGGCCCGGCTGATGTGGCTCAGTGGTTGAGCTCTATGAACCAGGAGGTCATGGTTTGATTCCCCGTCAGGGCCCATGCCCAGGTTGCGGGCTCCATCCCCAGTAGGGGGTGTGCAGTAGGCAGCCGATCAATAATTCTCTCTCATCACTGATGTTTCTCTCTCTCTCTCCCTTTCTGAAATTAATAAAAATACATTTATTAAAAAAAGAAAAGCCAAGCTGTACTTCCTGCAGCTGGGCTCCAGGAGAGCTCCCTGTGTCTTGCTAAGAACCCTTCTTTTAACCCAGAGCTAGGTTGAGGTGTTTTCTGTGTCCTCAAAGGATCCTGATTAGAATCTATCTAAACAGGGTCATTTGGAGCTTGTTCAAAATCCAGGTCTCAGAGCTCCCGGAAAGCTCAGTGGATGAGGAAAAGTTCATCTTGAAAGAGGAATCTCAGTTAATAAATGTAGAAGGAAAGAGAGAATTAGAAACTTACCATTTTGTAACTAATACAAAAGGCAAGAATTAAAACTGGATATCAAAACAAGTAGGTGAAAAGGATGACAGGAAAATGTGTCATTTGCACAGGACCAAAGTATCACCTTACAAAGTAACTGATCATTGCAAAGGGGAAGATACAGCTTACAATAGAGAGATCTGGTAGCCACCACCTTAACCCCATGGTCAGACTTTGCATCACTAATCGCAAGACACTCTGAATGAAGTACCCAGCATCACCTCTCAGGTGGTCTTGCCAACTTCTAACCTGAACCTCATCAAGCTGTTTGACCTAACTTCTACTTTACAGGACATTCAGATAACAGATGGACAGTTAAAAACCACCCCAAAGAAACAATCAGATAAACCCAGAATGTGGGACAGTTCTACAAAACAATATCCTGGTCCCTTCAAAAGATCCTAGTTCAACTAGGGGGGTAGTGGGGAGCAGTGGGGCTGTTCTGGATGAAAAGAGATTAAAGGCCCTAGCCAGTTTGGCTCAGTGGATGGAGTGTTGGCCTGTGGACTGAAGGGTCCGGGGTTCGATTCCAGTAAAGGGCACATGCCTGGGTTGCGGGCTTGATCCCCAGTGGGGGGCGTGCAAGAGGCAGCTGGTCAATGATCTCTCATCATTGATGTTTCTCTCTCTCTCTCCCTCTCCCTTCCTCTCTGAAATTAATAAAAATATATATTTAAAAAAATAAAATAAAAAATAAAAGAGATGAAAGAATATAAAAAGAATACCTAGCAATAAATTTAATCAAGAAGGCAAAAAGGTGAAAGACATGTACACTAAAAACTAATTGAAGAAATTGAAGACACAAATAAATGGAAAGATATTTTGTGTTTATGGAGTAGAAGAATTAATATTGTTAAAGTGTCCATACTACTCAAAGCAATGTACAGAATCAATACAATCCCTATCAAAACACCAATGGCATTTTTCAGTGAAATAGGAAAACCAATCCTAAAATTTGTATGGAGACACAGAAGACCCCAATTAACCAAAGCAATCTTGATAAAGAACAAAGCTGCAGGCATCACGCTTCCTGATTTCAAACTTCTTACAAAGCTATAGTAATCAAAACAGTATGCTATTGCCATAAAAATAGACACATAGCCCTGACCGATTTGGCTCAGTGGATAGAGCGTCGGCCTGCGGACTCAAGGGTCCCGGGTTCGATTCCGGTCAAGGGCATGTACCTTGGTTGCAGGCACATACCCAGTAGGGGGTGTGCAGGAGGCAGCTGATCGATGTTTCTAACTCTCTATCCTTCTCCCTTCCTCTCTGTAAAAAATCAATAAAATATATATTTAAAAAAAATAAAATAGACACATAGTGACCAATGGAACAGGGTAGAAAGCCCAGAATTAACCCCACACAATAATTTATGACAAGAATATACACATGGGGAAAGGACAGTCTCTTCAATAAATGGTTTTGGGAAAACTGGGCAGTCACATGCAAAAGAATGAAACTGGAACCCTATCTTACACCATATACAAAAATCAACTCAAATGGATTAAAGACTTAAACATAAGACCTGAAACCTTGAATTCCTATAAGAATAAATTCTTGGAAGAGAACATGTACTATGCTCCTTGACATCGGTCATGATGATTTTTTGGATTTGATACTAAAAGCAAAGGCAACAGAAGCAAAAATAAACAAGTGGGACTACATCAAACTAAAAAACGTCACAGCAAAGGAAACCATCAACAAAATGAAAAGGCCAATAAAAGAAAAAAAAATGAAAAGGCCAACCAAATGGGATAAAATATTTGCAAATCAAATACCTGATAAGAAGTTAATATCCAGCCTGGCCAGAGTGGCTCAGTTGGTTGAGCATCATTCTGTGCACCAAGAGGTTGCCAGTTCACAAGAAGAAAATTTTGTTAACTACATGTGGTGATGGATGTTACCTAGACTTATTGTGGTGATCATTTCACAATATATACAAATACCAAATCATTATGTTGTACACCTGAAATTAATGTTATATGTCAATTACATCTCATTTTTTATTTATTTATTTAAAATATATCTTATTGATTTTTTACAGAAAGGAAGGGAGAGAGATAGAGAGTCAGAAACACCGATGAGAGAGAAACATCAATCAGCTGCCTCCTGCACACCTCCTACTGGGGATGTGCCCACAACCAAGGTACATGCCCTTGACTGGAATCGAACCTGGGACCTTTCAGGCCGCAGGCTGATGCTCTATCCACTGAGCCAAACCGGTTTCGGCTACATCTCATTTTTAAAAACCACAAGCAACTTTCAGAGATCTAAGTCATGCCTGATAGGCGCCTGTAGGACTTCCTGGTATGTCTCAGTCTCTCAGACATTTTGAGTTAGCAGAGAGGTCTGCGACAGCAGGGCTTCTACAATCTTGAGGCTGTTGTGCTACAGCGGTCTCACAGAATAGAGAAGAGCTCTGATGTTTGTGGACATGGCTTTTGTGTAATATGATGGATAGAAATTGATATATAAGAAACACATGGCCCTGGTCGGGAAGCTCAGTTGGTTAGAGCATCGATACGCTAGGGTTCTGAGTTTGATCCCCAGTCAGGGCACATACAAGAACCAAACAATGAATATATAAATAAGTGGAACAAAAAATTAATGTTTCTCTCTCTCTTTTCCCCTCTCTCTCAAATCAATAAATAAAAATTAAGAAAGAAAAAGAAACACACAAGGCTTTTAAATATCAACCTGGACTAGAAGGGACAGATGCAATATGAAATAAGAATGAAAAGAGGCTTTTGTAACCCCAAATTTCTATGAGCAGGTAACAGTCTAGGAACTACTAAGAATGTTCATGGAAAAGGAAGGGTGATTCTGGGCTGAACTGAGATCCCAATGAATGGAAGCAAGAGCCATGGAGAACTCGTAGGAAGTAACAGTGGTTCCTAATAGAAAAACTAGAAATATATGTTAGGACTGGATTTCAGAATTTCTATGAACCAATGATTCCTGTGTACTTCCCACCCTAACCCTCCTTTTTGGGCAGGAGTGTCTATAACAACAGCAGCAGCAGTTTCCACTAACTCACTCTCTGTACATCCAGGCCTTTTACAGGTGATGCCATTTATAATGAAATGCCTAACAACGTTATCTATATATATAAAAGCCTAAGCAACCGTCGCAACTGAAACAACCAAATGGATGATCAAACAGGCTGCGTGGGGCGACTAGGCTGGCAGCGGGGTTAGTGAGGGGTGACCAAACGACTGAGCAGCAGGCTGTGTGGACAAACCAGCAGTTGGACATCCCCCAAGGGGTTCAGGATTGGAGAGGGTGCAGGCTGGGCTGAGGGGACTCCCCCATGCCTATGCACAAATTTCATGCACCGGGCCTCTAGTTAGGTAATAACAATAGCTAAAACCTCTGTAGCATTTACTATGTGCCAGGCACTATTCTAATGTGCTTTTAACTCATTTAATTCTCACAACCTTATGAGGTAGGTACCGTTTTCATTAATGCTTTACAGATGAGGAAACTCAGGCCCCTTACCCTCTAGAGCAGGGGTCCTCAAACTACGGCCCGCGGGCCACATGCAAATACAAATATTGTATTTGTTCCCGTTTTGTTTTTTTACTTCAAAATAAGATATGTGCAGTGTGCATAGGAATTTGTTCATAGTTTTTTTTTAAACTATAGTCCGGCCCTCCAACAGTCTGAGGGACAGTGAACTGGCCTCCTGTTTAAAAAGTTTGAGGACCCCTGCCCTAGAGATTAAGAAGTTGTTCAAAGTGACAGAGCTTGTAGTTATTGAGCAGAGATTTGAAACCAGGGAGGTTCAGGAATACCATGCTATACGCCTCTGTGGAAATATTACTCATACAAATTAGCTCATTTCATCCTCCCACACCCCGTGAAAAAGATGGTAGTAGCATCTCCATCTTACAGATGAGGAAGCAGATGTACTAAGTCACTGGGCAGGACCAGGACTTGAACTGGGTCTGTCCACTTGCATTACTATGGGGCTATCTGGAAGGGATGAAGATTCCCTGGGGTTGTGCCTGGGCCCGGACGCCTCACCTGCTTGTAGATGAGCTCAAAGGCTCCCGTGTCACAGTTTCGGTCCAGCCGCCGGTCAATGACCACACGCAGGGTGTCGGCTTGCACACCGGCGCACAGCTGGGCGGTGACAGACGTGGAGGGCGCCATGGTGGGGCTGGCATTGATCTCAATCAACCAGGGCTGGAAGTTTTCACCAAACACAAAGTCAGCGCCATAAAGCTCAAAGCTAGACTTCCGACACTGCACAGTGTCCTGGGAAGTCTGCAGAGCATGGATCACTGCAGCCTTCATGCCAGGCACGATGACACTGGACCAGGCGTTTGGGGCCCCCATGTCCTGCAGGTAGGCCTGGAACTTCTGGCTCGACCACATGTTGTTTGAGGGCAGCAGCGGGTGCCGATGGCACGAATTCTCCAGGTGCTTCTGGATGGAGTTGTTGCACAGGTGCACTGAGCTGGGGCAGAGAAGAGAAAGCTGAGGTCTGAGCCCCTTTGCCCCTCCCGTCCAAACCTGGGGAGGGCAGGCAAACCCTAGACCCAGCCCGGGACCACTGTGGACCATTCAACTTGAGATGAATTCCTGCTGGGGAGGGCAAGGACAAAGGCTCGGGGCCCATAATATTCTTCTAGGGCCAGAACCAATTTTACCTCTCAGGACCTCTTCTGAGGGCACTAACTATAGAGAACACAATATTAAGTGCTTTGGGCCAGTGTCAGTTAACCCTCCCAGTGCCTGGGAGATAAGAAGGTGCTTAAGAGTATGGGCCTTGTAGTCACTAAGACATGTGCTCAAGTCCTATCTTCACCACTGACTAGCTGTGAGATGTTTCCTCTCACCCCACAAGTTAATGCTGCAACTTGCTTTTTTCCTCTCAGATTTCTCCTGACCACTCTTTACCCTGCTCTCCATTTCTTTTTATTTTTCATATCACCTTTTAGCCTATTAGATGACTTTACTTATTATGTTCATTGCTTGTCTGTTTCTCCCATTAGACTGTGAACTCATGAGAGCTAGGCTCTTGTTTTGTTCACCACTGTGTCCCAAGCGCCTGGAACAGAGAATGGCACAGGGTACACGCTCAGTAAGTATCAATGGGTGGAAGGATGGTGGGATGGACGGAGGGTCTGCCTGCCTGCAGAGTCTGTGTTTGGAGCCAGCATTACACTGGAATTGCCTGTTTCTGGCCAGCTTCCCAACTAGACTGGGGGCTCATGGGAAATGAGTGGTGGGGCTCACTTGTCCAGGTTCTTCAGGGAGAAGGGCTGCGTGGAAAAGCGGATGTAGCTGTCGTGGTAGAACCACACGGTAAGTGGATTCCAGTCGGTCACCAGGAACCACTGTCTCAGGTCAAAGGTCAAACTTGGTGCCAAAGATGAGCAGGGGCCGCTCGATATACTTCTGCACAACCCACTTGCCATCCTTCATCAACAGGGGGTTGCCGTCCACCAGTTTCAGAATCTCCTCCAGGTGGTCCATGCACATGATGCCTAAGGGGGAAATGGAGTGGTCAGGGACCAGGGCAGGCTCTGGTTGGGAGAAGAGCTGGAGACCATAGACAGCTCACCATAAGCTCTCATCCCCACAGAAAAGACAGACAAGTGGGTAAGGCTGTCTGCCTCAATCAGACCCTTTTGCCTTTGGGAAAGTTGAAAATCTGCTTTTTTTGTTTTTGTTTAAAATAAAATAAATCTCTCTCTCCAAATGCATAGAAGGAAGTATAGGGGGGGGGAAAAACACACCAAAGTTAACAGTAGTTATCTTAGTGAAATCAAGGGTGGCTTTTGATTTTGTCTTTCTACTTTTCTGTATTGTCTAATTTCTTAAATATAATAACATGTATTTTTATACTTAGAAAAAACCAACAAAACTATTTCCAAGGTAGAAAAAGAAAAATTCATCCATGGGCAGTATTTGGAGGGATCTGCCAAAAGTCTGTTTTCTACATCTCAGAAGTTTTTAACCAGTGTTTAAAGGCTGGGCAAAGGCACAACTCCAGCGTGCTGGCTCTCCTGTTCAGATTCCATTCACAGAGGGCTGAGCAGCCAGAATAATAGCACTCATGTAGCAGTTACTACGTAAACGCACAGGATCTAAGTACTTTACATATATTATACTTACCTCATCCTCTCAGGTAGGTATTATTGACTTCATTTTACCAATGGTGAAAATGAGGCCCAAGAGGTTAACTAACCTGGCCAGAACTTTACAAACAGCAGGGGGTAGAGCTTGGGTTTGAACCCAGGCATTCTGGCTCCTAGTATCCATACCCTTAACCACTATGCTATATACCTTACAAAGGGGGCCAAATCCAAGAGCCCTTAGAAGACAAGCACCTGAGTATCACCAGACCTACCTAGAGCATCATCCCAACTCTGAGGGCAGGAGAGAAGCTGCATCGTCACAGCAACCAACCTTTATGGGATGATCACTCTGTGCCAAGCACCATGCTGAGCTTTAGATGCACCATCTTGTAATTTTTGCCTCATAGGAAGTCTTATCATCTCTCAGAGGTGACAGAACTGAGGTTCAGAGAGGTGATATAACTTGCTCAAGGTCACACAGCATACTGATAGCAGAGCTGGGATTCAAATATAGGCAGCTTGACTCCAATAGAGTCTGCACTATTGACAGCCTGGCCTCTAGATCAGCGTTCGTCAACCGGTGGTCCGCGGACCGCTGGTGGTCCGTGAGGTCCGAAAGGTTGGCGGCCGCTGCTTTAGATGGTGAGGTAGGCTGTAGGGTGCTGGTGCAGGAAGCAGGGGCTGACACCCACCTCGGCCACGGGACTTGGCTCCTGGCTTCACGATCCAGACGTTGCGATCTCCTTCCATGTCTATCTGGGGCACCAAGGCCCGCAGCTGCTGCAGGATGTCCTCACAGCGCTGGACCTGAGCAGTCAGGTGCCTGAGTTCTGCCCCCTCGCTGTTGGGGAGATAATGGGTCTTGGGCAGGGCTGGACCCAGGGACAGCCTGGTGGACAAGGCAAAGGGAGACACAAGCTCCCCTGGCCATGGTCCTACCAGCCTTGGTCGTGCCCTTCCCTCCCTAAAGATCCAGATAGGTCTCTTCCAAACCTCCATACCCACCCTCAAGCTGCCCCCCAAATTCTTATCTACCCAGGGCATCGTCCCAGACTCCTGGAATGGGAAAAGGCACCACTTATTACACCCCACACCCACTCCAAAAACTCCATTTTCTGCCACCTCCCTTTCCATTACATTAAAGTTGCCTTTGGCAAAATTTAATCATACGGCATTTCATGGTGAGGCTCCACTATGCGCCAGGCTTTGTAGTGAAGGGCTTTACATACATTATCTCTAGTCCTCTCTGTGGCCTTGCCAGGAAGGTATTACTGGTCCCATTTTAGAGCAGTGTAAATTGAAGCCTGGAGAGTTAAGAGACTTGCCCAAGGTCACAAATTGAATTTAGAGGCTGAGCCAGGACACAAATACCATCCTGCCTGATTCCTCCATCACAAGTGCTTTTGAGGGTTCATTCCCCTTCTAATTTGGACCTAACACTGGTTGATAGG